TTTATTACTATAATTTATTCAAGTTCGGCAGGTCCACCCCTGATCTAGCTCCATCTTCAGTTTAAGCCTCAACTTGTTTCATGACAGAAATAAACCTGAGTCTGACCAAAGCAAATTCAGGCCTGAGGTTTAAGCTGTGTTTTGTGTGCGCTCGCAGTGACTCTGAGAAGGCCAGAGCAATGGAGCAACAACATCACGGAAAATGGCTCAAAGAGTGATTTTTTTTAATGACCTGACTAATGCGAGAGGAGCCACAGAAAATACACATAATACAATCAATAAAGTGTACTGTCTGTTGTATTTATGTAGAACACAGAGATTTGAAAAATAACAATGAATTTCTCTCCCCCCATCGCCATAGTGACATGTCACTATGGCAATAATTTATCATCTTAGAACTTTGAAGTGTCATAAAGGCCTTTGAAGTGTCAAAGGCCAGCAAGGACAGCAAAGAACAGTCACACCATATGGCAGAGAGACAAAACTTATGACGCCCAACTTTTATTCAGGACACAGCTCCATAAACACATTCAGGTAAGTTTCTACTTCATTTCATGTGTTTTGACCAAAGGGAATTGACGTTTTAGTAGATTGAAAGTTTGCGGGAGGTTTTGTTGTGGCGAACAGTGTCTCAAACATAAACTTATTCTAATACATTTCTTAACACGTGATTGTTTAGTGCTTTTTGAAAGGGAAAACGAGTTAATTTAGGTTCACTGTTAAGTGTTAGGCCAGTGCTACAAACACCAAACTCTTTCAGTGTAGCAACTGCTCAGTGAAAGTGGGTACAGTACCCCAAAACTTGAACTTCTACTTAAGTACAAGTAGCAGTACTTCAAAATAATATTACTTAAGTAGAAGTTAAAAGGTGTACAAGAAAGTAAGACGTAAGAGTTAAACAGTATTTATGGAAACGACTGCTCAGTAAGACGTGGCATCTGGTTTGTGATTTAAAGTTGATGTAATTGGAAAGACAAAACATGAAATAACGCACAAAATCTGGTGTTTTCAAAGGTTACACAACAAATATTAGAACAACTAAATCATATCTGAAGGAGCAGTGCAAGAAACAAATGTTCAAATTGTTTCATGTTGTCAACATGAAACTTTTGTCACTTGTAGTCTTACTCACAGTGGGAAGAGAAGCCATAACTTTAACTTGAGTAAGAGTACAGTTAAAAGTAGTAAAAGTATAGATTGTGAAAAATATTCTGAGAAGTATTCAAAAGTTACTCAAGTAAAAGTGACCTACCCACATCTACTGTTACGCCCACAATTCAATCACTGTTGGCGTTCTCTTAAAGGAAGTGTACGTAAGATTTCTGCAGGTTTAGGCTCTGGTAACACAGGTTCAGTTGTGTTCATTTGTTATTGTAGTAACTTTTTTGTATGTATCTGCAGTCAGGACTACTTTGCATTTAGACATGAATAAAAACACATTGTGACATGTTTGTGTACTGTTTTTCAGATTTCCAGATGGAAACAAAGGTGCTGAGCAATGTGGAGATCAAATCATCTCTCCCCAAAAAATACAGGTTCATCAGATACCTGGACGAGGGAGGATTTGGCCAAGTGGTCCAGTGTCAGAGCAAGTACACTTTCCAGAAAGTGGCTGTCAAACTGCCGTTATTTCAGCAGGACACCCAGGACGAGGTAAAACATTTAGATTTTTTATATATGATTTAAAGGTGCACTATATAACTTTTCTGGTGGAGGGTTTGCACAACCTGCTTTTCTTCATGGAGTGACACCAAGTTACAGGTCAGAACTGTGGATAGGCAATCACAGTAAGAATCCAGTGTTGAAATTTTGTGAAATAGTTTTTGCCGCATTTTGCTGACTAAAAAAAAACTAAATCAAACTAAAACAACAACAAAAATTACATAATTTTTTGTCAACTAAAAATGACTAAAAGCAGTTCACTAGTAAATCCACACTGATATATCTCTGTATTTTTATAAAGATTGATATCAGTCTGGTCCCCCGTCCCCTGTCGCGCCTCGAGCCTGGCCAAGCGTCATCATCCAATCAGATTTGTTTATTTCAGTGACACAAGTGAAATGAAGGAGCTCATTGGTCACTTATCATTTACAAATAAAATCAAAGAGTTTAGTAATTCTGCAGAATATCCGCTATCCGATATTTTTCTCCTTTATTTGTTCCAATACGGACGGACCAAGTGTGTCCCTGATTCAAGACACAGCGATAACATCTAACAGCTGAAACTATCCACCAGAAAAGTTACACAGTGCCTCTTTAATGACGCATCTTTTTACCTCGGTGCCTAATCTGATTTCATTGAACTCTTGTCTCTGTTTGTTCAGATTTCTATCCTGACTCGACTGATGGAGGAAGGATGTGACCAGAAAAACATCATCAAATTCTTGGAGGTGTTTGACACTCGTTTGGGGAAAGCAATCATCTTTGAAGCGCTGGACATGTCTCTGTACGATTACCTCAAAACATACGCCCCACTGCCCCTCTCCACTGTCCGCACCATCATCAAACAGGTACTACCCCAGGGAAAAGTAACTCAGTATGTAGTTATGGGAGGAACACTTTGAAAAATATATTTAATTGCATTACATTACCAACTTATCAATATATGAAAGCTGGGACAACATATTTTTGGGGTCAGCATTTATCATCTTTCTTTTCATTACTAGGACATTTCTGGTTATTTTTTTGATGATAAGATAATATTTAAATCATAAAAGTTTGATAAAAATAACAGTTCATGTTTTTGTTTAAGAATATTGAGATTTAGAATAGTTTTTGTGGTTTAAATGTGATGCTCTTGGGTTTTTGTGTCAGTGCCATACATTAATTTCAATATTAGACACTGACAAACTTTATTGATACATAAGGGAAATGACTTGTAAATTATCCTTTATCATCTGTATTTACTTATTTTGACAGGCCCAATACAATCCTACAAATGAACTTTTATGTCCGTTTTATACTCCTAACCCTGCTCACTTGTGTCCTGCACAGGTGGCCACAGCCTTGGAGGAGCTGAAAAAGATGTCCATAATCCACACGGACGTGAAACTGGACAATGTGATGGTGGTGAATCGCAGGAAGAGGCCCCTGGAGGTGAAACTCATCGACTTTGGTTTGGCCTTACCTGCAGAGGAGGCTGAAGTGTGCTCGGAGTTCCAAGTCGAGTGCTACAGGTACGTCTCAAAAAGTAGAGAAAAGACATAACGGGGAATACAGTGGTGGGACATACAGGGATGGACTTGGGATATTTAAAGATGGGGTATTTTGCTTTTATGGGCTTTTAACCGCTTACACATAACATATTTAGATCACCATGTTACCTTTTATTGTTTTAAAAATGCTATATTTGCCAAAAAAAAACATCACACGTTTATAGTTTTGTATCCTGTTTTTTTTTTTTTTTTTTTTTACTTTAAAAACCAAAACAAACAAAAAAACATTAAATTAGTAAAGACTACTTGTAGAGCTTAGTACTGAAAAAGCCTTTATAAACTTTGGAAGTTCATTTGCTCAAGTGTTTAACATGAGAGTGACATCCACCTGCAGCTTCACTATTCACTGCCTGATCTTGAATTATTTATTCATTTTAGAATTAGACGGGAAGTAGTGATGTTAACAGTTAGCGAGCAGTTTGCCAATCTGCAAAATTAGAAGATTAATTATATCATCTGTAATTCAGACTAGACGTTCACGTTTTCAACTAAGACCCTGACAGCACATTTTAGCCCATTCCTGATGAAATTCTAAAAAAAATATCAAGAATGATCAAAATAAAACATATGCTATAGAGATACTGGACACAACCCTGAATAACATTGTGATGTTAATGTCTCTCTCCTCTCCACTCTCCAGACCCCCTGAAATCATTCTGGGTTTGCCTTGGAACGAGGCCGTGGACGTGTGGTGCCTGGGGACCCTGTTTGTCGAGCTGTTGTTAAAAATGAGATTATTCCCCAACAACACTGAATATGACACGGTAAGTCAAGCGTAGATCATGAAAAACTTTTTTCTTTTTTTTGAATTTGACATACATATTAAAGATGCACTACGTAACTTTTCTGGTGGAGGCTCTGATACCTGATCGTCTCCATGAGGTTGGCATTGTTTTGTCTGAAATATTCCACAAAATAGCATTTCAATTAATCTATCTTCCTGGAGACAAGCCGTAGTTAGTTACCTGACCAGCCAGTCTCTTCTAGGCATAACGAAAACCCACATATCATGACATTGTATCGTCAAAAGTCTCACAATAATAGCGGAGGCCCTCACAATATATCGAACATTTGACTGGCAGTGTACGTTTAATACTTTAAGTTTAATACTGTGAAATATACCCGGGTTAACAATAACTTCTCCATGGTACCGGACCCTCCAGAAATGTTACCTAGTGCACCTTTAAGTCTTGTCTAACAAACGTGTGCTTCTTTTGATACAGTTGAGAATTATGATCAAAGTCTTCGGTGCACCTCCTGATCATGTGCTCAGTCAGGGGCTCATGACTCGGAAATTCTTCCACCGGGTCGGCGACAGATGGGTCCTCAAAGTAAACATTTCTTCTAGTTAGATTCATTCTTTTATGTGTCACAAAAGTAAAAATTATAAACTTCTCAATTGCTGTTTTCAGACTTGCAAAGAGATGGAGAATTTTTACAAACACAAGTGTAAGACCCACTTCTCAGAGCGCTTCAGCTCCCTCCACCATCTGGTCCAGGTAAACACTGTCTTTGGCCGAAACAACGATTTCACATACATATATATATATATATATATATATATATATATATATATATATATATATATATATATACATACATACACACACACACACACACTGATATGTGTGTATTTATACGTGAGAAGGCAGATTCAAGGTCCTGTATTATATTTTAAGACATGTTAGAATGTTCTTTCCTCCTCAAAAACATCCCTGAAGTTGTGTTTTATTTTATTTATACGTGTCCAAATGTCCTCAAAATGCTCTGTTCCACATTGTGATGTCATGAAGTGGTAGTTTTCAAGTTGAGTTCAGTACAGACGGGCAATTCCAGGGCTGAAATCATCCAAATGATTCTAGTGAAGGTGTTTAGGGTTTAAAAACACACATCGTAAATTTACAAAGCGTTAAAATGTGTGTTAAAATGAATGAAAGAAGAAAAAAACTGTGACACAAAACACAACTCCAGGTTTGTTTTTGATGAGGAAACAACATTATAACATCAGAAAATTTTGTAATATGGGCCTTTGAACATATGATTCACTCCCAAATTTTTAGCTGAATCACACCATTAATTCTCTTTGGTCATGGTCCATATAAATCTTCATAACTCCAATAAAATATTTAGTCAACTAATGTAAACACTGTAAATACTGATGTGTTCCTGATTTGTTTGTAGGAAAATTATCCTCCCAGATCTCACCGGAATGTCGCCCAGGACATCAAGAGAGCCACAGACCTGCTCGCTCAGATGTTGAAGATGGAAGTGTCTGCTCGGATAACTCCCTCACAAATCCTCCAACATCCATTCATAAGCCCTAAAAGGTTTGTTTTTAGATCACCACTGTTCAAACTTTCTTTTCACTTCTCAAGTTTAAAGTGTACTATGTAACTTTTCTACTTGTCTCCCTGGAGATGTTTTTGCTTTAATTGCACTGCAGAGATCAAATAGTACAGTTTCTCTGTATTGTTAACACAAATTAATGAATAGTGGACAGCGCTCTGAAAGGGGAGTGACTTAGAAGGGACTCAGGGTCAACAATGAAAATGAAAACAATTTGTTTTCACACACAATGAAACAACTGAAAAAAAAAGAGTCTATGGCAAAAGTACAGAAGTGTAACTATATTTGTGTATTTGTTTACAGTCGCGTGAGAAAAGAAGAGCCACAGGAGCAGCCTGACCTGGTCCCACAGACGCCTGTGAGGAAACCTGTGGTCACCGTAGTCAAACTGGCCTCTCCAGAAAACACCAGTCCCTTTAAAGAGGAGGAACAACAGACAGACGGGTGAGTGCAAATTTTTTAAGGGGTCCATATTAAGCTGTTTTCTGATCTGTGTTATTATGTTGTTTCCTCCTCACAAACAGACCTGGAGTTGTGTTCTGTTTCATTCACATGTTTAACACACAAACCCTACATATTTAGATTGTTCTCTCTCAAATGGAAAACACTGTTCCACCTTGTGATGTCATGTGATAACACAATAAGTGCTCCACTGTGTTTTTAAACTCCATACTCCCTTAACTAGAATCATTTGGATGATTTAAGTCCTGAAACTGCTAATCTCTACTGAACAAAAGGTAAAAAGTTGCTGTTAACTTAAAAACTACCTCTTCATGACATCACAAGGTGGAAGGTGGAGATGTAGACAGTCTAATAAACCAGGGTTACTGAATGTGGAAATGAAAGAAAACACAACTCAAAGTATGTTTTTGATGAGGGAACATTATAACATGACTTAAAGCTCACAAGAGTCAATTCTGCGTAATACAGGACCTTTTAAAATACAGTGTAAAGCAAAAGTAACAGAATGTAATTGTATATTTGTGTATTTGTTTACAGTCACACAGAAGACCCAGTGTCACAGGAGCAGCCTGAGCAGGTCCAGCAGACGCCTGTGAGGGAACCTGTGGTCACCGTAGTCAAACTGGCCTCTCCAGAAAACACCAGTCCCTTTAAAGAGGAGGAACAACAGACAGACGGGTGAGTGCAAATTTTTTAAGGGGTCCATATTACGCTGTTTTCTGATCTGTGTTATTATGTTGTTTCCTCGTCCTAAACAGACAACAGTGCCCATTAAATCAAATTATAGGTCTTTTGGTTGCCACAAGGCAGATTAGCCATGAGCTTTTAACCGTGTTTCATTTATTTTCAAAAAGTTTATGGGAAAATGAAAGAAAATTTCACTCTTGTACTCAAGCAAATTTCTGAAATACAGTCTATGGTAAAGTAATATTATAATGTAATTGTACATTTGTGTGTTTGTTTACAGTCACACAGAAGACCCAGTGTCACAGGAGCAGCCTGAGCAGGTCCAGCAGACGCCTGTGAGGAAACCTGTGGTCACCGTAGTCAAACTGGCCTCTCCAGAAAACACCAGTCCCTTTAAAGAGGAGGAACAACAGACAGACGGGTGAGTGCAAATTTTTTAAGGGGTCCATATTACGCTGTTTTCTGATCTGTGTTATTATGTTGTTTCCTCCTCACAAACAGACCTGGAGTTGTGTTCTGTTTCATTCACATGTTTAACACACAAACCCTACATATTTAGATTGTTCTCTCAAATGGAAAACACTGTTCCACCTTGTGATGTCATGTGATAACACAATAAGTGCTCCACTGTGTTTTTAAACTCCATACTCCCTTAACTAGAATCATTTGGATGATTTAAGTCCTGAAACTGCTAATCTCTACTGAACAAAAGGTAAAAAGTTGCTGTTAACTTAAAAACTACCTCTTCATGACATCACAAGGTGGAAGGTGGAGATGTAGACAGTCTAATAAACCAGGGTTACTTAATGTGGAAATGAAAGAAAACACAACTCAAAGTATGTTTTTGATGAGGGAACATTATAACATGACTTAAAGCTCACAAGAGTCAATTCTGCGTAATACAGGACCTTTTAAAATACAGTGTAAAGCAAAAGTAACAGAATGTAATTGTATATTTGTGTATTTGTTTACAGTCACACAGAAGACCCAGTGTCACAGGAGCAGCCTGAGCAGGTCCAGCAGACGCCTGTGAGGAAACCTGTGGTCACCGTAGTCAAACTGGCCTCTCCAGAAAACACCAGTCCTTTTGAACTGGACGACTGCAAACCTTTAGAGAGAGGTGAGACTTGCTTCTGTTTTTTAATTGTTATTAGGTTTTGGAGTTATGACATTACTAAAATAACATCTAAATGGCAAAAACACTGAATTTAATTCTGATTATGGTCCTCATCAGAGTTTGTGGTTTGTACATTTCAGTTAAATAATCTTAAAGGTTCAAATAATGAGCAAAATTCACTCTGGTTTAGCTTTAGCCACATTCAAATGTTGTTACCTCCTCAAACACTTTGTTGTTTTATTTCAGTTGTTTCATTTTTATATATTAGACTAATAATGCAGAATTACTCATTCTCCAAACTTCAAAATGCTCTGTTTCACTTTGTGATGTCATGTAGTGGTAATTGTCAAGTTAACAGCTACCTTTTGTTCAGTATAGAAGAAATAAAGAAATAATAAATATGAGACTAACACAGTTATTGTTTTCCACAGTGTGAGGACTGCGAGGGTGTGGGAAGAACCAATCCCTGTGTGTGAAGAGCAGGCGAGAGTACTTCCTGTTCCAAAACGGAAGGTCAGACCACATCTATTTCGTAAGACGAAGGTCCATCCTCTCCCACCTCCTCCTGCTCCGAGTCCTGAGGCCACAGTGCTGCCCCCTCCAGGTAAGACTCACTCAGATTATCCTCACTGACAACATAAAAGACATTTGCTAATAAAAATTTGTCTCTTTAGGTGACACTGCGCCCAAGAAGAAGAGAACCGTCCTCCGAAGGGGTCTGTCGTGGCTGAAGCGCTTCTGCTGCTGCTCCGTGGACACTAAGTTGAGTTGCAAACCTTGAAACAAGTGAATAAAAGTATGGTTAGAAAGTGTGCTGACACTCAAAGTGTCCTTTTTTTCAATAAATATTGGTTTTGTTTTATGTTCAGAAAGAGGATGGGAGAGCGTAGTGTGTAGCAGGGCATGTGTGGGAGGAGCTACAGACTGTCTCTGCTGGGGGATGCAGAGCAGCACCGACACAGGCGTGTGAATGCTAAATACAGAACAGAGGGACTCAAAATGGCTGTGAAACTGGGGTTTAACAAATGCTGGATTAAGGAGTCTATTGTGATCTGGAAATGCGCCTCTAGGAGCTATGGCACTTGGGTATGTAGTGCTATTGTGCACACGCCAAAATAGGAGGATGGTAACAGGTTAACTGTGACCCTGAGGATCAATAATTGGAGGGTCTGCTCTTCCGGAAATATCGTGAAAAAAAATTGTGGCCATTTTAGTGTAGGTAACCTTCATTTTGTGATAGAAAATTTTTAAAAATGAAAAATGTCCTCAAATCCTCAGTGAATTGGTTAAGCTGTCTACAAATACATTCCAGATGCAAAGAACACATGTGGTGACAACATTCAGTGAAAAAAATATTCATAAAACACATTTCTACATGATTCTGGCTCAATTTAATGCCAAAAAATAAGGCATTTTTTTTACTTTTTTCCAATATTTTCATCTTTACCTCATTGGCAATCAACTATTCCCCCAAGTTTTGACATCAGCCAATATGCCATTCTTTTCTTCAAACAGTATAGTCATTCCACAGAAAAAAAAAAAAAAAAATCCAACCAAAATCAATGGATCTGTGATGATTTCTTTACCATCAACAGGCCCAGAACCTCAATAGAATGTTAGGCTCCTCTCAACATTCCATAAGACACACTGGATATTTAGCATAGTTGTTAATGTCCACATTATTAAACATCATGGCCTAGGCATCTTTTAAATAATAATAATAATAATAATAATAATAATAATAATAATAATAATAATGATACAGATGAACAGTTTCGGTGTCCAGTGGGAAAAAGCTTTACCAGGTGAGAGTCGCGCAATGTCGATGACGAGTCCCCACCTCAGTTGAAAACTGAACGTTCAAAAAATCTGCTCAATGATCCATCCAATAATCCATTGACCATGAGCCAAACCCAGTGCATCACACATTTACCACAGGTCCCATCCCTCCAAACTCACTCATATACCCTTTAATGTTCTGAACTCAAACTCTCCCCGCCGCTGCCCCTGATACACAGAGCTGCAGTTATTTTCGAGTCAGTTCTGAAATAGAGCGGTGCCCCGTCTGACCCCACATGACAGGAACTTCTCCAGACTGCACCAAACAGCACTGGGTTGAGGTTATGTCATCATTTCACACAGAGGGCAGGGCTCTGGAGGACTCTGTTGAAGCTTCGCTGGTTTTGAAAGAAATATACAAACTTATGGTAAACCACAAATGTTGAACCGTCTCATTATTTTTATTTTATTTTACTTCAAAGGGGTATTACCAGCTAACACAGAATATATTTAGATCACCATGTTAACTTTTATTGTTTTGAAAGTACTATATTTGCCAAAATCAATGTATCAACATGTTTTATAAGTTTTGGTTTAGTTTTTGGTGCTCCGAGTCCAGGGCTTAATGCGCAATTCGGATTTTTTTGTGAAATCCGATTTTTTTACGAGGTCGTTCACATTTCCAATTAAATGTGACTTGTGTGTGATCTCCAGTGTGAACTTTAAATGCCCCAAAAGTGTCCCGCATGTGCATTGGAGGACACAATGACATCACATGCAACAAGTGTGCTCAGTGTTTACGGAAGTCGCCTAAACGTTGGGCTTGTCTGCCAAAATACGGTCCAGTTTTTCATAAAATGGACAGGTTACACGTCCACAGCCTCTTCGTTTGTTTGAGTCTTTAGCCTCATTGTATTTGGCTCGCAGGCTCTGTGTTTTTTGTTGACATTGGAGCCAAGACCGCCTGTAGTCGCTCTCGGCCATTTCTTTGGCAATCATTTCAAAAATCGCCCTGTTCTGAAAAGACCCGTCCAATTTGACCTGAATACACAGATCACCCCAAATATTAATGACTGTTTTTCTGACAATAAGTCAACTGGAGAATAAGTCGCACCAGCCAAAAATGAGTAATGAAGAAGAAAAAAATAAGTCGCACTTTTTGGGGGAAATTTATTATATAAAATCAGAGACCAGGAACTGACATTTCATCTTAAAAGTCAAGTTCTAGTAAAAACAATAGAAGAGAGAACAACAGACTGTTAACGTCACATATGAACAGTTCTTCAGATAAACTATAACATAAACAACAGAACAGAACAAGTTTACCAAATTCTCCATCTCACTCCAAATCACTAAATCCATTCAGTTCTTCATCCTCGGTGTCACTTCTGAGTGACTCCGTGACCTCCGGAGGTAAACAGAGCGCCGCCTCCTCTTCTGTGTAACTGTCGTCAGACTCAGCATCAGTTCCAGTTAGAATTATTCTAGCCTTTCTGAATCCCAACAGGATGGTTTCGGTGTGTCAATGAAGTCCTGGCTTTGTTGATCATTGGATGCAATGACTTCCAGGAAAGTTGCATGGCGCACCTAGCCGGGCTGGTGCCACCTAGTGCCTCCGCTCAATTTAATTTCTCTCCAGTGACTAGGTCAGGAATCAGAATACAGTAGACAGTTCACAAAAACCCCGGAAGTGCGAGCTTGGGCACCAGCCAATCAGCGAAGAGTCATATATTCAGTGTTGTCAATGATTCCCGAGATCAAGGATTTAAAGTTAGAACAAAGAGAATGTTTGGTGAATTTCATCAAGGGGAAAGACGTTATTGTCCTTCTTCCTACAGGATTTGGGAAAAGCTTAATATACCAGTTAGCCCTGTTAGCGGCGCATTACATACATCACGACCAAATAGCAGCGATTGGTTAAATGATAAAAAGTACCTGCCTACCGTTGAGCAAAGGAATTCTAACACTGTGAGGTCAGATGGTTTCTACAAAGTGAAAGTAGCTGATGAATCAGGCTATGGTGCATCCTCCCGGTGTCATAAGTTTCTCACTCACTCCAAACTTTCTTTTTACCATTTTCAGCTGCAGATTTTGCTACTTGCAGCTTGTAATCTGCAAAATATGATTTTCTTTTTGGGGGCGTTTGTGTTCAGTCTTCTCAGTCGTCTTTATAAGTTTGTTTAAATGTTAAATTGTTCAGTGGTGCAGAAGTAATGATGCGATCGACTGACATGATACAGACAGGACAGAGGCTCTTTCTGCAGGAGACATGCGCAGTAGAGTGAAGTGACAGTGGTACAGGAGGAACAGGAGCAGCAGATACTCACACATAAGACTAGAACCTCTTGCTGCTGTCATTGTGAACATTTGAATATAGCACTGGAGTATAAGTCGCAGCACCACCCAAACCATGAAAAAAGTGCGATTTATAGTCTGAAAAATACGACAACTCACTAACCTCGCTTTCCCTCCATTGACGAATCTCCGAGTCTGATGTGTAGGTGGGATGAATGTGACCTGGCCGTTCAGACTGAAGTCACATGCCAAAAGATTAGATATGTATCGGTTTTAGGAGCACATATCCAAGTGTCCTGAGTCGCATTTAAAAAAAATCTGATGTGTCTTTGAAACTGTCATTAAAAGATCAGATACAGGAGCATGGGAGCGACAAAAAAAATCGTATTTGGGTCACTTCAGGCTGCAGTCTGAACGTACAGTAGGCTAAGTCACTCCCCCTTCAGAGCGCTTTCACAACATAATCAGCGTCCTTCCTGCTCATGAAACTACTGTACATCAGGTTTGTGAAGACGTAGTGTACTGTCTCGTATCATGCCTCAAGAAAATTGTACGAGCATGGGTGACGTAGGCTTGTAGGCGCGGAACTTTAAAACTACCCATAAGGAGGGTTCGAATAGGGGCCAGGAGAGATCGCTAGATGACTCAAACATGCATGGATAGCATCTAAAACCTCTTCGGACATATTTTTGATGAGGGCATAACGTTATAACGCCAATTCTGCATTTTGCGCCAGGTATTGTCTCATATGGATAGGCCCAGAGATACGAACCATAAACCAGGTCAACAAATGTGCAGTCTGACAGTTACACAGCAAAGTCCACCACAGCACAGACCTGTCCTCCAGCTTTATTTCAACACAGGGAGTCTGGAAGGTTGAGAGACAGGACCTCGCAGGATAACCAGACTAAGGGTTACTGTGTGGGTTCACTGTCAGAATAAAGTTTAAATTGGGTTTTTCTGGCTCCATTAAAAAAAAGTAGAAAAAAAAAAAAAAAAGGAGAAGGATTTTTAACAAGCAGAAAACTGTCAACAAGTGTCAGGTTTGCTAAAAAAAGGTCAATATTTTGGTTCGTTTTGAGAGAGAATTGTCACATGAGTGAGTGGGTTAGATGTCCGTCACGTCAGCTGCACAAAATACAAGTAGTAATGTAATGTACTTAAGTAAAATTTTTAGGTAATTGTACTTTACTTGACCCTCGTGCACCCCTTTAAAAATAGTTACACCTGTGCTCCTCCGTGACAAAAGTGTACATCGAAAAAGAATGCCACAATATTTTTATGCAGTGCAGATTTTTGTCCAACTTTTTAATATCAGTGTCTTCATTTACTTCTGCTCTAATCACACATACCAAATATTATATAATATTTTGACATTTTAACCCTTTAAATGTCATTTTTTACAGTAAATCTCAAATTTTGTGCATAAAAAAAGAAAAAAAAATTGGATTATTTCTGTACTTTTCAAATCATTTTAATTTGTTTGTGTTATGGTTGTCAGAGATTATCAGAAAATAGTGCCAACAGTGATTTTGAGATTTTTATTTTTATTTTTGCACAAACAATAGTTACACCTGTGGTCCTTCGTGACAAAAATGTAAACCGGAAACATCATAACAACATCATTTTCTTCAACTTTTTAATATCAGTGTCTTCAGTTACTTCTGCTCTAATCATACATACCAAATATTATTTAATATTTTGAAATTTTAACCCTTTAAATGTCATTTTTTACAGTAAATCTCAAATTTTGTGCATAAAAAAGAAAAAAAAATTGATTATTTCTGTACTTTTCAAATAATTTTTATTTGTTTGTGTTGCGGTTGTCAGAGGTTATCAGAAAATAGTGCCAACAGTGATTTTGAGATTTTTTTTAGTTTTTGCACAAACAATAGTTACACCTGTGGTCCTTCGTGACAAAAATGTACACCGGAAAAGAACATCATACTATGTTTTTATGCAATACAGATTTTTCTTCAACTTTTTTATATCATTGTCTTCATTTACTTCTGCTCTAATCACAGATAACAAATAATACATTATATTTAGAAATTTTAATACTGTAAATGCCAGTTTTGTATGTCAAAGTCTCAAATTATGTATATGAAAAAAATGAAAAAAGTTATTTTTTTCTATATATTTCAAGTAATCAACACAGATTTGTACATTCTCAAAAAAAAAAAAAAAAGACAAAAATCGAATAAAAGAATACCACAATATTTTTATGGAGTACAGATTTGTGTTTGACTTTTTTTTCTTTCTTTTTTTTAGTTTTTGCACAAAATGCTGTTTTCCCTAAAGCCCCATTGACTTCCATTATAACTGCAAATTTTTTTGGTTACACTGACATTACACTAGAAAATCATAAATTGTGGATTTTTACAGGTTTCTCCAGTTAAGAAAAGGTAAAATTTGTGATTTTTACAATTCAAACCCAACTCACCCCTTTACACCTTCTGTAAGTCTGTATGCAAACACACCTGTAGTTTCCCGGTGCTTTCCTCTGGAGTTCCAGGGGATTTACACTGACTGTGCACAGGAGGGTTCTGGGGGAGAAATACTTGCCTGTGGATGTGTTTTTGCATTGTGTAAAAATGACTTAAAATGTAAATATGATCATGATTGAAACGATGGACATAAAAATCATAGAAAATCTCCAAACACCCAAAAAACTGTCAAATGTAAAATTCTGAAAACACCTTTTAACAGACTGACAGGAGAAAAACAAGTACCAAGTGAAATGAAATTGCAGTTACTCTACATTTTCAGTGTTTTTCACTAAAGGCAGAAACAATGACAAAAACCTAAAAATGAACACACACACACACACACAGGCACACACAAACTCACACAAACACACACAAACCCCTAAACAAACACATTCAGTGCACTGTGGGAATCCTCCAGAACACACCCGTATCATTTTAACCTCAAATATGTGGACTTCCGTGTGGACTCATATGAACAAATGTCTTTCTATTATTATAATCTGGCAATGGAAGATACACGGTAAAAAGAAACATATCAGAACTAGTGCTGTCATGCGATTAAAAAAAATTGATAGATTAATTAATTATGATCTGTAATTAATTAATCTAATTAATCTCATTTTAATCTCACCTAAAAATAGCTGAGAAAAGCCTTCAATTTGAGGTATTTTCATTTAAATTCATTATTCCATTATTGTGGCAGATCAAAAGACTGATATAGATTAAAAAAAGTGACTTTATAAAGTCATTTATTGTTTAACAAATCTCTCCAAATTGTCTGTTGAGCCCAAGTCTCCATGAATAAGAAACTGTTTGCTGAAAGCAGCAAAGACCAGGAAATCTGAACATAATAACTTTTGTCTACTTAAAGACAATAAAAAGTCTAGTCTTTCCTTAACCATATTAAAAATATTATTGCTAGAGAAATGCTTTATATATGAGATCACTGGTTTTAGTCCTGGTGTTAGTTCTGGTTTAGTCCTGGTTTAGTCCTGGTTTTAGTTCTGGTTTTAGTTCTGGTTTAGTCCTGGTTTAGTCCTGGTTTAGACCTGGTTTAGACCTGGTTTTAGTTCTGGTTTTAGTTCTGGTTTAGTCCTGGTTTAGACCTGGTTTAGTCCTGGACTGGATTAGTCCTGGTTTTAGTCTTGGTGTTAGTTCTGGTTTAGAGGCGCACAGGAGGAAGCGCGGTTTACGCCGCGTAGCGAGAAAACACGATCCACACGCGGCGCACGGGAGCACGTCGGTGTCCGCGCAGTGTCTACGAAAGGAAACGTGGTCCGCGCGTTCTCAGGTTAATGACGATGATGAAGGTGTGTGTTTGTGTGTGTGTGTTTGTGTGTGGTTGTGTGTGTGTGTGTTTGTGTGCGTGTCCCCTCATGTGGCAGGTCACTATAGGACAGTAGTGCAGACATCATGAGCCTATGCAGGTTGTTTTCACCAGTGACATTTAAGTTGTAGGCGATATTATATTTGTTATTTTCTTTTATATTTCACATCAGGAGAATAATTTCCAAGACACGAATGTGTTTTTACCTGTGCACTGCTGACTCTGTTCTACTGGCTCTTCGACCTCGTCCATTGTGCGACTGACGCCATAAACGTCGCTCTTACTGCACGTGTTTTGTGGGGGTTTCCGACAATGAGTGGAATTGCCGAAATTAAAAAATGTATAAATGTGTTTTTTGTTTGTGCGTGTGTGTGTTGTTGTCCCAACAACACATAAAAACAGGTTTTATAATAAAGAAACTCACATACAGAAACACTAAAGTTAGAGATTAAAAATGAGATTAACGCTATTAAAAAACAGAACGCGCTAAATATGACTGTAATTAATTAATCGCAATTAACGCGATAATTTGACACCCCTAATCAGAACATTCAAAAAGACACTAAAACAAATCAAATCAAAACAAAAAATAATAAATTGAAGGGTTCTCAACACCAAACAATGAAAAAAAAAAAAAAATGTTATGACAATGTTATGCCAGTAAAGAAGTCATTTTGAATGGAAGTCAGTGGGACAAAAATGTACCTAAGGACATATACCGTCTCTCTTCTTCTTTACCCATTTCCTGCAGAATCGACGAGAGGAATCAAGGATCTGTGCAGTGGATTGTGGGATATCTCATAGCTCACCTCTGGTTAAACCTCCCGAGCTTCTTATGCTAAAGGAACTCATTTGTATTTTTTCTGGTTTATTAATTTAATTTAAGCTAATTTTTGATTATGTCAAGAAACCAGATACTCCATTTGATCATGTACACAGGGATATGAGTGTCCTGGATTCTCAGCGCGCATGTATACACAGTAACCTGAATACTGCCAGAACCGGGATATGACTAATAACCGGGATACTGATGTGCATGTATACACACTCATTAATAGGCCAATTATATTTATTGTAGATGGGGGCAGCTAAAATGAATCTTGTTCAAACCCTCACGCTCTACTCGGGGTCACTTAGACCTGAAGACTTTTTTTTTTCACTCTCTTTGGGCAGGTCAATCAGACCCAAAAATGTATTTTCTCACCTGGAGAAAACATGCAGTTTTTTGTTGTAATACAGTGAGTTCATGGAGGGAGGCATATAAACAACGAAATTTGATGCTTGAATTCCGGGGGACAATGATCAGAAATAAATTAGATGATTTTGCTCTTTACATGTGATTTGAATCAATCAGATTTAAAGAGCACATGACCCACACATAGTTCAGGTGACAGGAAAAAAAACAACAACATTTGGACTGAGTGTCATGTGTTTCTAGGCAGAAACTGAACTGTCATAGACCCATGAGTCTCAGTGATTAAACCAGTTTGAGCCGATGAGTCGAGGCTCAGATCACTTCAGGAAACAGCAGCACAGAGAGTTTACAGGTGAGACGTCCAATTTATAATTTAACTATTTCTTCTGTAGTAGTAAGCACTTAATGTTGATTGAATCCTTGTATTGTTTTGTTCTTAAACTGTTTCCTTGTATTTTGTGGTTACATTCTGTATATTTAGACTGTTATAGTTTTTATGGGGATGTGTCTGATGTTGTGATTGGTCCAGTTCAGGATTAGTATATTAGAATGTAATGTTGTCTCCAGTCACTCTTCATAAATCTAATCTTTAAGAATAAAAAAGCCTTTGGTCAGTAGATGTACAAAGTACAGCTAATGTGACTTCAAAGTAATAATAGAACTTTATTTAAACTAAAACTAAAAGATGTTGGCTTATGGAGTTTTAACACTCAGTGATAATTTACTGAAGCAGTTTCTCTCATCAGGTTAACTTTTGTCTCATGTTTTGGTTTGTCATGTTTCTGAGATCAACAGGGCTGTGTTTCAGTATTTAGTCTTTAAGACTTAAATTGTATAAAACAGAACAGAGCTGTTACTTGCAATGAATAATAGTTCATAACCATATCAATCTATCAATCAATCATAATGTTTATGAGTTTATTTTTAGAATGACAATGTGACTAACAGTAAACCCTTCCTTTGTTTCCTTGAAGAGAAATGTGGTCGGACAAGATCAAAGCAGCGATAAGATCAAGAAATAACTGAACCAGAGGTGAACCACGACTGAACAGAGTTCTGGTCCGGCTCTGAGGGATAATGGCAGAGTCCAAGTTGGTCCAGCTGTTGGAGAGACATGAGTCCTTGATAAAAAGGTAAAAAAATATATATATATGTATATTTTTTCATCAATGAATTCAATCAAAAAACATAGTGCTCCACAGACTATCTTGATGAAGTCCTGATTTAAACCAGTCTTTTTCTTTGCCTAAAGTCGCCCACAGAGTCTGTATCGCACCAGGTCTGTGAATGAAGTGCACAGGAGCACAGAGCAGAGCTCTTCACACCATACATCCAGGTCCCACTTCTTTCTTTTTCCCCTTGTCTTTGTTCTTCTTATATTTTTGTTTATTACAATTTAACCTGCAATCTGAAAAAGATTTAGATGGGTTATTAAAAAAAAAAAAAAAAGTTAATGTCAGATTTGGTTCATTCCTGTTAGACTAAAAGAACACACAGACTGAACATGCAGACTGCAGTATGAAGCGTGAGCATGGACTGTAGCAGAATAATCCTAGAGTCAGAGGTTGTAGTCTGAGTTACCTTCATGTTCTCAATGTTCAAGGCCAAGTCACTTTGGCCGAGTCTGGGTCAAGTCTTTAGGTCTCCCAGTGCAAGTCTGAACAAGTCTCATTAAAATAAAGTTAGAGTCCAAGTCAAACTAACCTGACACTTCTCCTAAAACACATATTCAGGACTAAATAGGTTCTCCTCCTCCTGTGTTTTCAGCCCAGAGTCACATTATGAACCTGTTCCAGTGTGGAGCCATGGCTCCATGACTCAACCTATTTTCTTCAAGGATGGACTTTCAGCCAATCAGAGGTGAGAATGGACAGGAAACTCTAAACACTTCTTAACCTTGGATAACTGTTCGCTGCCAATATGAGCAGAAAAGGCTGTAAAAAGTGTGAACATTTAAAAATGTTTGAAGTTTAACCAAATAATGAGTTTAACTGGGGGATTCTAATCTTTCATTTTTGTTTGTTTTAAGCTCGGAGACAGAATCCAGACCTGACTCACTCCCCAGAGGAATGTCAATCAAAAGTGACGCCTCCATGAGGGATCGCATGTTGTTCAATAAAGAACCTCTCTCAACCAATCAGAGGTGAGAACAGACCACAGAAATAATATTAACAATTTATTTATGCATCTGTAGTGTGTATTTGTTAAGGGGCTCTAAAGCTTTATTGTGACTTTGTCACAGCCTGATCACATCAGATCTCTGAGCCTATCCGGGCTGGTTAGAGCTTGGATGGGAGACCACTGGAAATATCAGATGCCACAGTGGCCTTGGCGGAGGATCATTTCAAATTATTACAAAGCCAATTACAAAAATAAATAATAAAAAATTAGAACTTGATGAGTTTAAATTTTGTGTGAAGGCCCTGAAAGAAAATACAAAAAAAAAAAAAAACTTGAGCCTCATTCATGAAGCGCTCTGATGAACAAATGTGTACTTTTGGATTTCAGGAGCACTTGTAAGAACAAAAAGAATATTATTTCTCTGAAAATACAATCAAAATTTCTAATTCCTCCTTGATATATATTTTTTTGTCAAATTATTTCCTGTAAAAACATTACTATGTGGATCATTACCAGTTATGGAGGAGTTTTATAGAGCATGTGCTATTTGGTCTAACAGACTTTAGAGCCCCACTGCTCTCCAGATGGGCCACTGTTACAGCCCTGCACCGGGTCACCGCACTGGACCCAACACCAAGCACCTCCATCACCCCCCCCCATGACCAAAGCTCACTCATATGCCCCACCCACCTGCAGCTCCTCTTCATCGCTCTTTACCATGTGTCACTATTGATCAGTACAAGCTTGACCAATACAATGAAATCTCCTGTTTATTTCAGTAAGTTTAAATAAATTCTTTATACAGTCTCTCAAGTCCCGGACTGGACAGATCTCTGTTCATTTGAAGTGTTGCACTGAATAAAACTACATCAAACTTTGTGAATGCATTCACACCACAGACTGACCCCACGTCATCAGAACAAAGAACACAGGACTCGTAATAAAGTTCACACACTTATGTCTGATCTGTGCTGAAAATGACTTTTAGCTCATCAAGATTATTCTCTCATTTGAAGCATCTGTGTTGTCTTTATGTAAAAGTCGACAGATGTGAGATGAAGAAGGAGGAGGGAGGGACGCTCCTGACAGCCAGGGCGTCACGGGTCCAGTCAGCTGTCAGTCAGCTGTGAGTGCACCTGTTAGACAACACTGCATTTCCCATCATACATTTGGGCTGCAGTCACCTTGATCTCACCATATTAGTGATACCTGCATAGTGTGGGGCAGTTCACCTGCACAGCCTTGCTCATCTTAAACACACCTAATGCCAAAACATATGAATGATTATGGAAATAAACTGTAAACAAGTGTTGTGGTGTTCATATTTGGATGTTGAATCAGACACACCTGTCATTTAAGAAAACATTTGGTCACTTAAGATCACTTTGTGAATCTGGAGCAACGTTCTCTCAGCATCTGTGTGCTCCTGTAGGGCATTTGATATTGATTTTAAATGACCAGTAAGGACAGATAACATAATAACATGTTGTTTTCCAAGCAGCTGTAATAAAATATAAATTCCTGTGGCACTGTGGCCCAGACTTCCACAATTCTTCCACAAACAGGTCTTTCCACACCTCATACTGAAAAAAAAAAAAAGCTAAAGAGAAAATTATTCTATCTCCAACTGAAGTTTTGGTTTTGTCACCCTCTGTTTGTGACTGTGGGAAGTGTAAGGAGCACATTGTAAGTGAAGAATACATGCAGCTTTATCATTAAATCAGACCAAATGTTTATCTCCAGGGACACACGTCTCTCCTCTGTGACAGTCAGAAGTGATGATTCTACTATGGAAACCATTTTAGAAGAACAATCATATGAGAGGTACAAAGACAATGACATTTAAATGGGAAAGCTTGTTTAATTTAACTGAGAGATAAAACTGTACATTTCTTCTGTGCAGTTTGGTAGAGACACGTCCAGACCTTGACAATGGATCTATTTTTAAGGTGAGAGTTCTGCATCTGTAAAACATGAGAATTTAACAGCCAACAGACACAGTAACAAACATCTCAAGACTAAGAACAGCCTGACACAGATCCAAAGACACAGAGAAGAAAATCCAGAACCACAAGAGGCCCAGGATATGATTGAGAAGACATATACAAGCCAAGCATGCTGAGACAAAAGGGTAACCAAGCTGCACTATAAGCCTGATTCTTACTCTCTTATGTTACAGAAACTGGAGGAGCACATTTTAAGTTTTGTTCAAAATGAGCTGAGAAAGTTACAGGAAGTTCTAATGGCAGAGGAACCAGAGTCCTTGGCATTTGACGAGGACGACAAGGCAGGAATTAAAGAAGCCTTTCTGAAGATCGCCCTGAGCTTCCTCAAGACTTTGGACCAGGACGAATTGGCTGAACGTTTACACAACAGTGAGGAGCTTCAGTTTGAGATCTGTTATGTCTCTTTATGTCATTATGTCATTTCTTATTTTCACTTCTGTTTCAGGACAATGTGGTTCTGAACATCGCAATAAACTGAAGTCTGATCTGCAGCAGAGGTTCAGCCATGTGTTTGAGGGTGGGACTAAAGCAGGAAACTCCGTCCCCCTGACCCAGATCTACACAGAGCTCTACATCACAGAGGGCGGGGCCTCAGAGGTCAACCAGGAAGGTGAGGTCAGACACATGGAGACCATGTCCAGGAGACCTGCTTCTCTAGAGACCATCATCACATGTGAAGACATGTTTAAAGTCCAAAAGATGTCAAACAGAGTGGTGTTGATGAAGGGTGTGGCCGGCGTGGGGAAAACAGTGTTGACTCAGAAGTTCAGTCTGGACTGGGCTGAAGGCCGGGCCCACCAGGACTTCCAGCTGCTGTTCCCGTTCACTTTCAGAGAGCTCAATGTGCTCAGAGATAGACAGTTCAGCCTGGTGGGACTGCTGCACCACTTCCTAGGTCCATCCAAAGGTCTCTGCAGGTTCCAACATCTCCAGGTGCTCTTCATCTTTGATGGTCTGGACGAGTGCAGACCTCCTCTGGACTTCAGTCGAACCCGCGTCCTGAGAGACACCACAGAGATCACCTCAGTGCACGTGCTGCTGGTGAACCTCATCAGAGGAAGCCTGCTTCCCTCCGCTCACCTCTGGATAACCACACGACCCGCAGCAGCCAATCAGATCCCTGCTGAGTGCATCTCCATGGTGACAGAGGTGCGAGGGTTTACTGATGCACAGAAGGAGCAGTACTTCAGGAAGAGGTGCAGAGACCAGGCCACAGCCATCATCTCCCACATCAAGAGCATCCGCAGCCTCCACATCATGTGCAGAATCCCAGTCTTCTGTTGGATCCTCTCCACGGTTCTACTGAAGCTTCTGGAACAAACAGAGGAACCAGAGTTGCCCCGGACTCTCACAAACCTCTACATCCACTTCCTGGTGGTGCAGCTTAAACAGAAGAACATCAAATACGATGACAAACTGGAGACAGGTTCTGCCTGGTCTGCTGAAAACAAGAAGATGGTTCAGTCTCTGGGACGACTGGCTTTTGAGCAGCTGCAGAAAAACAACCTGATCTTCTATGAGAATGACCTGAGTGAATATGGGCTGGACGCTACAGTGGCCTCTGTTTACTCTGGAGTAGTGACAGACCTCTTCAAAGGTGAGAGGGGCCTCTATGAAGACCATGTCTACAGCTTCATCCACCCGAGTGTACAGGAGTTTCTGGCTGCTCTTCACGTCCATCACACCTTCTTCAGCTCTGGAGAGAACCTGCTGCTGAAGAGACAGGCTTCTTTGAACATAGGTAGAAAAAGAGCAAAGACTGTAGTTTTTTACTGCTCTGCTGTGGACCAGGCCTTACAGAGTCCAAATGGACACATGGACCTGGACCTGGACCTGTTCCTGCGCTTCCTCCTGGGGCTGTCTCTGGAGGAGAACCAGAAGCTGCTGCGAGGTCTGACAAAGCGAAAAACAAGTTCACAAAATAACCAAAAGACCACTGACTACATCAAGAAGAAGTTGGATGAGGGTCAGTCTCCAGACAGAAGCATGAACCTGTTCCACTGTCTGAATGAACTGAACGACCGCAGTCTGGAGAAGGAGATACAGAAGTACATGAGAGCAGAGCGTCTGTCCTGGTTAAGCTCTCCAGCTGAATGGTCAGCTGTGGGCTTCATCTTACTGTCCTCAGGCTTGGATCTGGAGGAGTTTGACCTTAGAAAACTCTATCCCTCAGAGACAGCTCTCGTGGGTCTGCTGCCAGTGGTCAAAGCCTCCACTAAAGCCCTGTGAGTCCAGACTGTATTTAAACTCTTGTGTGGTGGTTCTAGTCTCTAATGTTCCTCTCTCTCCTCAGTCTGATTGGTTGTGGCCTGTCCCCTCGCAGCTGTGGTCTTCTGGCCTCAGTTCTCAGCTCCTCCAGTCTCACACACCTGGATCTCAGTGACAACGACCTCCAGGACTCAGGAGTGGAGCTGCTGTGTTCTGGGCTCAACAGCACCTCCTGCAAAATTGAGACACTCAGGTCAGTTCTTACTGTAAACTCTTGACTTAACATAAGCTTTATATTCCTGTATTTAAGTGTTACTTCAATAAAGTCATCTTGTTGATGTCACAGCTACTTCATCAGGTCCATGTATTTTATTTATTTATTTTATTATTATTATTATTATTACTCCCCCTTGAACTGCCACCTTATCGTGGTGGGGGAGTTTGTGTACCCGAATGATCCTAGGAGCTATGTTGCCCAGGGCATTATGCCCCTGGTAGGGTCTCCCATGGCAAACAGGTCCTAGGTGATGGGGCAGACTAAGAGCAGTTCATAGAACCTCTATGAATAGTTTAAAAACAAGGACCGTGACGTCGCCCGGTATGGCGCAGCCGGGGCCCCACCCTGGAGCCAGGCCTGGGGTTGGGGCTCGAAAGCGAGCGCCTGGTGGCCGGGCCTTTGCCCACGGGGCCCGGCCGGGCTCAGCCCGAAGGGACGACGTGGGGCCCGCCCTCCTGTGGGCTCACCACCCGCAGAGGGTTTCATAGGGGTCGGGTGCATTGTGAACTAGGTAGAGGTCGGGGTCAGGGATCCCGGCAACCTAGTCCACGGACACAGAACCTGGCTGTAGGGACGTGGAACGTCACCTCACTGGGGGGGAAGGAGCCTGAGCTTGTGCGGGAGGTTGAGAGGTACCGGCTAGATATAGTCGGCCTCACCTCCACGCACAGCTTGGGCTCTGGTACCCAACCTCTCGAGAGGGGTTGGACCCTCCATTTTTCTGGTGTTGCCTGCGGGGAGCGGCGGCGAGCTGGTGTGGGCTTGCTTATAGCCCCACAGCTCAGCCGCCACGTGTTGGAGTTCACCCCAGTGAACGAGAGGGTCGCGTCCCTGCGCCTTCGGGTCGGGGACAGGTCTCTCACTGTGGTGTCGGCCTACGGGCCGAACAGCAGTGCAGAGTACCCGGCCTTCTTGGAGTCCCTGGGAGGGGTACTAGACAGTGCACCGACTGGGGACTCCGTTATTCTACTGGGGGACTTCAACGCCCACGTGGGCAACGCCAGTGACACTTGGAGAGGGGTGATTGGGAGGAACGGCCTCCCTGATCTGAACCCGAGTGGTGTTCTGTTATTGGACTTCTGTGCTAGTCACAGTTTGTCCATAACAAACACCATGTTCGAGCACAAGGGTGTCCATAAGTGCACGTGGCACCAGGACACCCTAGGCCGGAGGTCGATGATCGACTTTGTCGTCGTGTCATCTGACCTCTGGCCACGTGTCTTGGACACTCGGGTGAAGAGAGGAGCTGAGCTTTCAACCGATCACCACCTGGTGGTGAGTTGGATCCGCTGGCGGTGGAGGAAGCCGGAAAGACCTGGCAGACCCAAGCGTGTCGAGAGGGTCTGTTGGGAACGTCTGGCGGAACCCTCTGTCAGAGGGATCTTCAACTCACACCTCCGGGAGAGCTTCTCCCAGATTCCGGGGGAGGTTGGAGATATGGAGTCCGAGTGGGCTCTGTTCTCCACCTCCATTGTCAATGCGGCCGCCCGTAGCTGTGCGCGTAAGGTCTGTGGTGCCTGTCGCGGCGGCAATCCCCGAACCCGGTGGTGGACACCGGAAGTAAGGGATGCCGTCAAGCTGAAGAAGGAGTCCTATTGGGTCTTGTTGGCTCGTGGGACTCCTGAAGCAGCTGATGGGTACCGACGGGCCAAGCGTGAGGCAGCTCGTGCGGTCACAGAGGCAAAAACTCGGAGCTGGGAGGAGTTCGGGGAGGCCATGGAGGAGGACTATCGGACGGCCTCAAAGAGATTCTGGCAAACCGTCCGGCGCCTCAGGAGGGGGAAGCAGTTCTTCACCAACACTGTTTACAGTGCGGGGGGAGAGCTGCTGACCTCAACTGGGGATGTAGTCGGACGGTGGAAAGAATACTTTGAGGATCTCCTCAATCCCACCGTCACGTCTTCCGAGGAGGAAGCAGAGACTGGGGACCCAGAGGCGGACTCGTCCATCACCCTGGCTGAAGTCACTGAGGTGGTTGGCAAGCTCCTTGGTGGCAAGGCTCCGGGGGTGGACGAGATCCGTCCTGAGTACCTTAAGTCTCTGGATGTTGTGGGGCTGTCTTGGCTGACACGCCTCTTCAACATCGCGTGGCGGTCGGGGACAGTACCTCTGGACTGGCAAACCGGGGTGGTGGTCCCTCTGTATAAGAAGGGGGACCGGAGGGTGTGTTCCAATTACAGGGGAATCACACTCCTCAGCCTTCCCGGTAAGGTCTATTCCAGGGTACTGGAGAGGAGAATCCGCCCGATAGTCGAACCTCGGATTCAGGAGGAGCAGTGTGGTTTTCGTCCTGGCCGTGGAACACTGGACCAGCTCTACACTCTCCATTAGGTGCTCGAGGGTTCATGGGAGTTTGCCCAACCAGTCCACATGTGCTTTGTGGACTTGGAGAAGGCATTCGACCGTGTCCCTCGTGGTGTCCTGTGGGGGGTGCTCCGGGAGTATGGGGTTCGGGGCCCTTTGCTAAGGGCTGTCCGGTCCCTGTATGACCGGAGCAGGAGCTGTGTTCGCATTGCCGGCAGTAAGTCAGACCTGTTCCCGGTGCATGTTGGACTCCGCCAGGGCTGCCCTTTGTCACCGGTTCTGTTCATTGTTTTTATGGACAGAATTTCTAGGCGCAGTCAGGGGCCGGAGGGGGTCCGGTTCGGGGACCACAGGATCTCATCTCTGCTGTTTGCAGATGATGTTGTCCTGTTGGCTTCATCGAACCAGGACCTGCAATGTGCACTGGGGCGGTTTGCAGCCGAGTGTGAAGCGGCTGGGATGAAGATCAGCTCCTCCAAATCCGAGGCCATGGTTCTCGACCGGAAAAAGGTGGCTTGCCCTCTCCGGGTGGGTGGAGAGACCCTGCCCCAAGTGGAGGAGTTCAAGTATCTCGGGGTCTTGTTCACGAGTGAGGGGAGGATGGAGCGTGAGATTGACAGGCGGATCGGTGCAGCTTCAGCAGTGATGCGGTCGCTGTATCGGACCGTTGTGGTGAAGAGGGAGCTGAGCCGAAAGGCGAAGCTCTCGATTTACCGGTCAGTCTTCGTTCCTACTCTCACCTATGGTCATGAGCTCTGGGTAATGACTGAAAGGACAAGATCGCGGATACAAGCGGCCGAAATGAGTTTCCTCCGCAGGGTGGCTGGGCGCTCCCTTAGAGATAGGGTGAGGAGCTCAGTCACACGGGAGAAGCTCGGAGTAGAGCCGCTGCTCCTCCACATCGAGAGGAGCCAGTTGAGGTGGCTCGGGCATCTGTTCCGGATGCCTCCTGGACGCCTCCCTCGGGAGGTGTTCTGGGCATGTCCCACTGGGAGGAGGCCCCGGGGAAGACCCAGGACACGCTGGAGGGACTATGTCTCTCGGCTGGCCTGGGAACGCCTTGGGGTCCCCCCAGAAGAGCTGGAGGAAGTGTGTGTGGAAAGGGAGGTCTGGGAGTCCCTGCTTAGACTGCTGCCTCCGCGACCCGGCTCCGGATAAGCGGAAGAAAATGGAATGGTTATTATTATTATTATTTATTTATTTTATTTATTTATTTATTTTTATTTTTTTTACAAAAAGCAGCATTTCTGCTTTGTCTCACTTCTATTTCTTGTTGTAGGCTTTGTGGCTGTGGTCTGTCCTCTCGCAGCTGTGGTCTTCTGGCCTCAGTTCTCAGCTCCTCCAGTCTCACACACCTGAATCTCAGTGACAACAACCTCCAGGACTCAGGAGTGGAGCTGCTGTGTTCTGGGCTGAAGAGCGCCCCCTGCAGCCTGGTGGCTCTCAGGTGATAATCCTTCCCTCTTGAGTCTGGCTTTGTTACACACTGTGTCTTAATCCCCTGGTTTCCTGTGTCTCCAGTCTGTCTGGATGTCTGGTCTCAGAGGAGGGCTGTACACATCTGAACTCGGCTCTGAACTCAAACCCCTCCCACCTGGAGGAGCTGGATCTGAGCTACAACCACCCAGGACAGACAGGGGGGCAGCTCCTGCAGGCTCTGGTCAGGGAGCCCCGCTACAAGCTACGATCACTCAAGTATGAACCAAGTCTAAACAAGTGCAGTGATCTTCTCAGGCGACTGCCTCCACAGCTCTGCTCTGAAAAACAGTTCTGACACTGCTGTTCTTTTTTTCAGACTGGACCCCTGTGGACCGCAGTGGTTAAAACCAGGTTTTAAGAAGTGTAAGCACCAAGAGTACTATATATACTATATACCTGTATTATGAGTAAGGAGTAGTACAGTATCTTGATCATGATGTATTACTGTTCTCTGTTCTGTCCACCAGACTCCGTGGGTCTCACGTGGGACATGGACTCTGTCCACCCCAGACTGAGGTTCTCTGACAGAAAGACCGCAGTGATGAGTGTGAACGATAATGAACCGTACCCAGAGCATCCCGACAGGTTCGACTGGTTCTATCAGCTGCTGTGTGCTGAGGAGCTGTGTGGGCGGAGCTACTTTCAGGTGCAGTGGAGCGGACATGTCCATGTGGCTGTGACGTACAGAGGACTGCAGAGGAAAGGGAAGATGAATGGAGCTTATTTAGGAAGAAATGAACAGTCCTGGTGCCTCTTCTGCTCTGATGAAGGCTTCTCTGTTTGGCACAACGATCAGGAGACAGTCCTGCCACACAGACCCGGCTCTCGGACTGTGGGGGTGTACGTGGACTCAGACGCCGGGGTCCTGTCCTTCTATTGTGTGGCTGACAAACTAACACTGCTCCACAGCTTCAGCACAACCTTCACTCAGCCTCTGGTCCCTGCCTTTGGGTTCAGGTTCAACTCTCAGGGTTCATTAGTGGTTCTGTGTTCCACTGAAGACCACAACCAAATAAGACATAGAACTGAACCAACTCTATGAGTGTCTGGAAAACAAAGACTAAACTTACACCCCAGTTTAAAGCTACAATGTTTTATTTTATTTCTTGAATTACTTGTTCTTATGAAAATTACATTACAGTTTGTGTAAGCAGGAATGAGAAATGTGGAAATGCCTACGGACACTATGGACATTGGACATTTAGACTTGACTTAATATGGACAATTTGTAAATTACTTTGCTTGTCATAATTATTATGTAAATACACGTTGTGAAAAGACAATAAAATACAAATGAAAAAAAAAGAAAAAAAGAACTGAACCAACTCACTGAAGGACTTATTATACTAGGAGTTATTATGTGCACACTTGTCATAAATAATATAATCAATCTTAAGCATTCATTTAACCAAACTTCTGTAGTCTGTTTTCAGTCCTTTTTTTGACAAACTTCTTATTACAAAAAAAAATATATATATATATATATATAATAATAAATAATAATAATAATAACATCAGAAAAGGATAGGAGCTGTGTTGTGGTGTTTTTCACTGTAAATATGTTGGGCTTTCGCTAACTCATAGTGTGTCCTGTGTACAATGCAGGCAACTGTGAAAAAAACTAAACAAAAACTGAGCTCAACTTTGTAATTCCCACTTGAAATTTTGGCAGTGGATTGATATTGCAGACAGCTGTATCAGTATATTATAGCCTTATATTGTATTTAATGTACTTTTTAGTAAGTGCATTTTCATAAATAGATGTAGTTAAAGAAAGTTATACAGTTGTAGGTATCTGTTTTGTTAAGGTACCTTCACACTGAACATGGCAAATGTGGATTGTGTGGGATTATTCTCTGTTTTTAATGTTTCATTCATGTTAATTCACTATGCAATATAGAAGTGTTCAGTGTTCCTTGACATGACGCGTTGTCTGGACTTTGAAGTGTCAGTGGGTTGGGATATGATGTTGTTGTGGACTTTGGGCTGTATAAGAGACAGCAAATGCGTGGGTCTGAAACCTTTAGCATATGCCAGTCTATGATAGTATGTACCGCACACGTGTTGGGTCAAAATTGCTGTGTATGTTTCTGCTGAAAATGCTAAATCAACAAGTTATGCAGTCAGATGACTAGTATAAATGCACCTGTGTGTTTTCAATGGGGGACGTCATCTAAGGGGACGTTGTCGAGGGACGACGTGAAGAGATGCTGTGTGGCTGAATCATGTAAATCAACTTGAACTGGAGACCTGTACCTGTTTTGAGCCAATGAAGAGACATGTCTGTGAACTACTTTAACTCCCAGACTCTTCTTTAAGACTCTCTGTTCAGGTTGCCTCAGCTGACAATTGCAATTCCCATGTTAACCCTATGTAGAGGCGAAGAGCAGGTATGAACAATGAGCCGGCGTTTAGCGTGATGGAAACAGTGCATGTGGTAAACTGCGCTCAACATGTAACACATGTAGATTATCCTGCAAATGGGGCAGACAGGCTGGCTGTGCTTTAATAACTGTGGTTGAATGCTGTGTGTCTCCTGCATCTGTGTTTCCTGATACTGGTGTCTCCCACTCGGTGCTGTTGGTTTCCGGGCTATAGCCCACTTTGAGCTGCTCACAAAGAATATAATATACCCAGGTGTAGTGGCTCCAGGTGAGTTCTCTCCCCTCTCCCTGTGTGGACTGGGTGTGTACCAAATATTTGCATGCTGTCATTCATGTGTTAAAGACATCCTTGACATACACTTGACAGCAAATATTCAAGTGTCCATCACTGGTTTGATGCTTTGTATGTGAACGCAGCTTTAGACCTGTGACAGAGATTGTTGTTGTTCTTCCCTCAGACAGTTAATGTGTGTGTATTATTTGGTATCGTTTAAACATGCCAGGCAGGGAGTGTGTTATTTTACTTTGGTCCACTTGAGGGCGCTAATTACTATTTTATTCCTATGTTCATGAAGCGTGTGTTGTGACCCTTTTAAGAAGATGAATAGTTGTCAATATGTAATGTGACGCTAAAATCAGCAAGTTCAGTAAAAGCGTGAGAGGTTTTGCTTTCATTCAAGTTAATCCAGACTGTGAACAATCATCTCATTGTATTTATTTCATATTTAACGCTTGCTACAATCAAAGTACAAAATGTTGTGCTCAGTAACCTAGAACCATTCTGATTATCAAGTTATAGAAACTCTGAAAGATTGCCAGTTTAAAACTTTCAGATAAAGATAAAATGTATAAATGCCCACTACTAAACCTTTGGTTTGAATCACAGACTGTCTCCTAGATGATTACAGAGTCTCAGATACTTTTTGCCTGTGTGTCACCTTGATGCTGTGAATCTATTCTGTGCAAAAGAAAAAGCAAATCCACACTGCAGTTCTTTGGAGCTCCCAAATTTCTATTTGAATGACACAACAATGTGACATTTTGTCATCAAGCCCTTCTTCAGACATGATGAGCCAAGGTAATGTTTCACGACTCCACTGGAGAACATCTGCAGGTACTGGAATTACAGTAATGTTCTTCTCTGCTCTCATCAAAGGATTACTAATACTAAGCTTGTGCAGGACTCTACTCAAAGCCTGAAGAAGAACTTGATGCTCACTGTACCCATCATGCCACCAAAGGGTTGGTAAACAAAGAAGATATGCAACAGCAAAAAACAAGTATGGAAGTGACTGCCCTAAAACTACAACTGCAAAAATTGCAGGCTGAAGTCAAAGACAAGAAGATGTCACAAAAGCCCACTAAGGTCATGATAGTCAAAGAAGAAGATCCGGACGAACTTCCAGTCACAACCAGCCAACTGGTTGCAGCTCTAATAATGGTTATGTAATCTACTGACATGGGCTCCAGTATGTGTGTCCACGGTTATCGATATATACTAGTCGATCGTTTCCATGCAAGACAGAATCTGCTAAAGAGGTAGTACAACATTTGATGTTATACCTAGGTTTGTGGTTCCTTATCAGATCAGATCAGATAATGGTTCACAGTTCACAGTTAACCCTCCTGTTGTCCTCATATTCTGTATACACCCCGTGTCCTCTGGGTCAAAATGACCCGTCTTCACTAAATCCCAAATAAAGCAGTTTAATTGAATTTTAAACACCAATTTTATTTAGTTGAAGAAACATTCCCACAAAATGTGTGAATACTTGAGTTTTCCCTTTTCACCTGCATTTCTATAGCTTTAGAAACAAAAGAAATGTGCAAAAAGGAATTTTGAATGCGTTTTATTCATCCCAATGAATAAGATTCTTCAGGGTTTTTTTTTTTGTTAGTTTTTTTTTGCCAGTGAACAATGTAAGAAAATATACAATCCAAAAAAAAGAATAACTCATTCATCTAATTAGCACATGTAGAGCAGTACGCAAATGCACAGCTCTTGCAGATATATTTCTTACACCTACAGCACACAGTATGTGTTTTACAGTCCTTCTTTGGCAGGCAGAACTGACATCTCTTCCTCTTACTTGCCCCAGCTGGGGCAGCGGCTGTGGCAGCTGGATCCTCAGGTTGATCAGGAGCTCCTGCACTCTGTATAGCTTTGACAACTGCTGCAGAGGCTTCTGTGCAGGGGACATGCTTCCTTCTTTCAATGAGTGGAGTTACAAATGCCTTTCCTAGTTGCTCCAGGAACACCCTCCTCTTGTTCTGCTCATGAGGCATCCAGGTTGGGTTGATCTCTCTCCAAATCACAAAGGCATTGTAGGAGGAATCATCAATGATGTTGTGGAAGATGACCAGGGGCCAGTGGGCAGTCATCCTTCTGCAGCTGTATGTTCCAGTCACCTTATTCAGGTTGTCCACACCTCCTTTGTTACAGTTGTAGTCTAGGATGATGGATGGCTTCCTGTCCTTGTGATCATAGTGCTATGCCAGTGTCTGTGTGCAGTGTGCTCAGAAGTACACATTCTTATTTTTCTTTGGGATGTAGGAAACTAGGGTGGTGTGAGCGTGAAGGCAAATGTTGATGAGAAGACCTCTCTCTCCTTTGTTGCAAGCAGTGCAGGTGGGAGCTCAGGTTTGTTCTTTCAAACTGTGCCAACCATGGTGATCTTCCTCTTCAGGAGCTGCTGTCATAAGAGCTGAAGAAATTGTCACATTGTGACCCCTCAGTCCCTCTGTCACATCAAGCACAACTTGCATCCACTGGTTCCTCTCTGGGCCTCCTTGGTCTGAATCAGAGTTGTCTTGCTGGGTATCTGGAAAAATCAGCTCTAGAGCCTTTTGGATCATGGATTCAGCACAATGAGAATTTGGGGTAATGTCATCTGCAGCACCTTTAAACTTCTGGAAATCCACAGATAAAGGCACTGTCCAAGGGCGGCAGTAGTTCAGTTGGTAGAGCATTCGCCCACTGGTGGTGGTTCGAATCCAGCTCTCGACATAAACATCATAGGTTAAGCGGTCAGACCCACTGACCCACAGGTTGGCTGATGTGATTCCAGCTCCCACAGATGAATGCTGTCATTGTGTCTTGGGCAAGACACTTAACCCACCTTGCCCACAGTGTCTGTGTGCACTGGTGTGTGAATGTGTGAGTGGTTCCTTGTTGTAAAGCGTTTTGAGTGCCATGAAGGTGGAAAAGCAATGTAGAAAAATGTGACCATTTACCAAGGCCTTGGTAGGTCTTGTCTTGTTTACATCTGCTACTGATTGATCTGAGACAGAACTAAAACCCTAACCCTCACATTCTGTGGTGTGTAGATAACTCTGTGACTGTGATTTTAACTGAATTTCACTGTTGGGTCATTTTGACCCGAAGACGACCTTTGTACATTTTTTTGTACAGCATACATGATAATGTGAATAAAGGCAACAATTCACTTTTCCTAAAGTTTGGGTCAATCTAGAAAAGTCATAAAATTTCAAGTTCAAAAATTATCGTTAAGATGATTTTTTGTTAGTTTTTAACGTGGTAGCGGGTCATTTTGACCCGAGGACAACAGGAGGGTTAAAATAGTAACAGACCTGTTGAAGTCCCTTAACATTTCGCTACGTTTTGGTAGCATTTATCACCACTCTAGCCAAGGTCAGGTTGAGCTCATGAATGCAACCATAAAGGGAAAACTAGTTAAAGTATGGTGCACTAACAAACTTGACTGGGTCACAACTCTTCCTTTTATTCTCTTGGACATTTGGAACAGTGTTAACAGAATCAACAGTTTTACAAATCAGATGCTTTTGACTGGGTGGGATATGCACAAACCAATAGGTCCTTTGATTTTGAAACTCCATTTTTGAAGATGTTGCAAAAATTAGTAACTGAACTTCACAAGTGCAAATTTAGTGAGGAAATTCAAGAGTGCAGTATCACTTGTCCCACAGCATTAAAGGTTGTATAGAGGATTTTC